GCTGACCCTGAGTCACTTCTGCCTGTGTGGGCGCCTGCAAGGCTTGCACAGGCAACACAATATGCATGAGCGTGGAAATGTGTGGACAGGGCCACATGTGCATGTGACCACATGTGAGGACAGTGTGCATGGCAGGCATGAGCGTGGGAGTGTAAATGTGTGCATTCTGGTGTGGGAGTGTGCAGTGTAAACAGGCCTGTCTGAATTTGCCTGTGACCAAGTGTGAATATGCGTGTACGGGCACATGTGATCTATTTGAACACTCAAGTGTGACTGTGTGGGTGTCGGTGTGAGTACACGAGTGTGTGTGTGATCTGTGTGAATGTGTGCCCATTATGTGAGTGGGTGTGTGCACAAGCCGTGCCTGTGTGCATGGGTGTATGTGCAGTGTGCATGTGCATATACAGTACACAGGTAGGTATATGTGCACACGCAAGAGGGTGCATGCATGTGGGTTCAACAGCTCACCCTGCAGAGCTCCGAAGGACTCGATGGAGAGAACCCTCCTCCCCACGGCAGAGAGGCTCCGGCACACACGGCAGGAGGACGTGGGCTGCAGCTTCCCTTCACACAGCGCAACAATGCTCTGGGGACGTGAGAGCACCTCAGACAGGAAGGCTTGGAGGAGGGGCCGTCTCCTGTGGCCGCCCACCCTACACAGCTGGGCCCTTTGAAGGTGACCACGGGGACAGTCCCCAGAACCTGCCCACGCCCGCCTTGCCCATTTTCTGGTATTTAAAAGGCAGCACATCTGGGTTGCAGAGAACCAGGAGGCTCATTACAAGCAAGACCTTTCATAAAAAACCAGACAATAAAAAGCCAAGTCCCCCTGCAAGCAAAAGGCAATGCCCTGAGACTGTGGCGGCAGAACCCAGGCGAGGCTGCCAGGCGTGTGCGTGGTGAGTATGTGGCGTCGGGCCTGTGGGGAGGGGGTCACGGCCTGGGGTGGCCCACGGCAGCCTCGCCTACCTGGAGGTCTGGCCGCTCTTCGGGGTCCTCCGCCTGCATCCGGTTCAGCAGCGCCTCCAGGTCCTGGCTCAGCCTGGGCTCCAGCGTGGGCTCTGCCACGTACTCGAGGGCGGCCTTCAGCGTGGCCCCCAGGGAGTAGATGTGAGCCTGTGGGCACGAGGGGCCATCGGCTCCAAGGCCTGTGCATGTGCACCGCCCTGACCACAGCTGCCACTTCTCGGGGCCAGGAGCATAAGTTTCAGGGACCAGACTTGCCCTTTGTGGCTAGGTACCTCCCCCTGTGGAGATTCCCTGAAGCAGCACCTACGCCCACGCAGCCTGTGCCCATGCCGCCCTCATCCACGCTGCCCGAGTCCACGCCACACATGCAGCCCATGCCATGCCTCCCTCGTCCACGCTGCCCTCGCCCATGCCATCCATGCAGCCCATGCCACGCCTCCCACGTCCACGCTGCCCACGTCCACACTACCCATGCAGTTGGTCCTGGGTCTGTGCTGCCCATGGCCCCCACACCTCTGGGCTTCCTGCCCACCCCAGCCTCGAGGGGCACAGATCCCTTCCCTGACAGCTGCCACGTCTCTCAAGGGTGGGGCCTTTGAGTGTTTAAGTCAAAAACTTCAAAACTTCAAAAACTGGATTTCAGTAGAAGGAAGCAAGGGTTTTGTTTCTGATGGAAAGTCCAGGTCTTCCTGCCATACGTGAGACAGTGGGCTCTGTAGGAGGTCTGCCCTGGACATGGCTGCACTGCAGGCCTGAGTGCTTCTTCACAGGATGGCTGCACGTGGGGTTTCACCTTCCTCACAGGAGGAAGTGGAACCCAGAGGGGCTCAGGAACCTGCCCGGGGCCACACTGCATGTCACACAGCTCACGTGTGGGGCTGGGACCCAACCCAGGGCCTGCTCTGCCCCCAACCTGTGCTCCCCTCCTGAGGTAAGTCTATTCTCCCCGGGCGTCCCTCATTGTCCACTCTAGTCCAGGCTGGCCAAGTGGACACGCTCCCGAGTCCTGGGTGGCCGGGTGGATGCACCCGAGTCCTCGGCGTCTGAGTGGACATGCTCCCGAGTCCTGGGTGGCTGGGTGGACATGCTCCTGAGTCTTGGGTGGCCGGGTGGATGCACCTGAGTCCTCGGCGTCTGAGTGGACACGCTCCCGAGTCCTGGGTGGCTGGGTGGATGCACCTGAGTCCTCGGCGTCTGAGTGGACACGCTCCTGAGTCCTGGGCAGCTGGGTGGACGCTCACGAGTCCTCAGCGTCTGAGTGGACACACCCGAGTCCTGTGCGGCTGGGTGGACGCTCCCGAGTCCTGGGTGGCCGGGTGGATGCACCTGAGTCCTCGGCGTCTGAGTGGACGCACCCGAGTCCTGGGCGGCTGGGTGGACGCTCCCGAGTCCTTGGCGTCTGAGTGGACACACCCGAGTCCTGGGCGGCTGGGTGGATGCACCCGAGTCCTCGGCATCTGAGTGGACATGCTCCTGAGTCCTCGGCGTCTGAGTAGACATGCTCCCATGCTCTGGGCTGCACTGGCCCCAGGCCTCTCCCAGCGTGGTCTCCAGATGTTGTCACAGAACCCTGAGACCTGCCTCCTCAGTCCGTAGTGAGGTCCAGGGTGACCAGTGGGGCATCTAGTCTTCACAGGAAGCCCCGCATCCTGGGGCCCCAGGCCAGCTGGTCAGCCTGGCCTACTCCGCGTCTCCGTCAGGGTCTGTCTCAGGCTCAGGCTGCAGGGACCTGGCCAGATCCCAGGGTCCCGACTCCACCTGGGACTGGCTGTAACCACCATCAGCAAGCTCATCCAATTCTGCCTCAAATCCCTTTTTCTCCTGAGATGTTTTAATTGAGGAAGACACAAAGTGTCACAGAGAAGAACCAGGAGCGCCCGGCACCCAGCACCCCACACTTTCTCCTCTGGGCCATGAACCACACCTCATAGACAGCTCACTTCCACAGTCTGGGGTGAGTGTGTGTAGGCAGCCCTGGGGCATTCTGGCCTGGACGTGGGCACGCATGCAAATGCACACATGGTACACACACACACACACACACACACGGCACACGCAGGCGGCCGGACACATGGCACACGCAGAACACGCAGGTGGCCGGACACGTGGCACACGCAGAACACGCAGGTGGCCGGACACACGTCTCTTCTCTCTCCTGAGTCACACGGGCGGCCGAACATTCATCTCTTCCCCCTCCCAGCCCGGACACGCGGCTCCTCTCTCCTGAGCGCTGCGCTGCCCTGCACCCTGGCTTTTCATGCTGTGAATCCCCTTCCAGGTCAGGAGCCCAGGCTGACTTTCCTTGTCCCACGCCTGGCCCTGCCTCCCCGAGGGCCGTTTTCTGCTTCTCCACCACCCTCTCCCTTCTGCACCCTTCCCTGTGCCATGGGCAGCCTACCTAGCACACCGGCCAGGCCCCTGCTGCTGGCCATCCCCACGGACTTGTGGTTGTGCGTGGCTCTGGTAGGGACTCGGCTCGTCTCTGTCCTCTCATGGCTCAGCAGACACCGGCCCCAGCCACCATCTCTGCCTTTTTACCCTGGGCTGGGGCCCCGATGGCTGCTCTGCTGCCACCTCCTGGAGCCTCCTGCGCCATCTGGGGGGACCTGCCACCCTCTCATGCCTGGGCCGGGTCCGCCTCCCTGGGGCGCCCGTGATGTGCGTGTCCCAGGTCTGTGCCCTCCACTCTGATCTGCGGCGGGTGCATCCCACGCCCTGCCGCCATGACCGACGCTTCTGTGGGTGTCCTAGGGCAGCATCTGTGCAGCCAGGCCACGTGTGCGAAGCCACAATTCCGGGAAGGGGATGCGGGTTCCAGGTCACGTCCACGTACAATTCCGGCAGCTGTGGCAAACCCTCCTGATACACGACCGACCGGTTGACTCGCCAGCCACAGCCGAGGCGCCAGTCTCTGCGGCCCTGCCAGTCTCTTAGGGAGACTCACTCGCGTTGAGCTGATTTGCATTTTTGTGATTATGAATGAGACGGAGCGTCTGTTCACGTCTACTTGCCGTTTTAATTTTTTCCTCTAAATCCCTGTGTGAGGACTGTGCTTTCTCCGCTGGGCTGGGCCTGCCAGGTGCCTCTGTGTGTCAGGGCTGGCCTCAGCCTGGGCACTGCCTGCACGCTGGCTGGTCTGTTGCTGGCTTCTAAGGCTTTTCATGCGTCTTCTCACATCCGAGAGCTCTAACGTGTGGAATCTGACCTGTTTTTCTTCAGCAGCTTCGTAGGACAGTGCTCTCCGCCCCAAGGTGAAAGGGACAGCTCTGTTTCTGCTGACATTTTTATAATTTTAAAATATCCAGACCTAATCTGTTTGAAGCCTCGCTCTCTGGGGTGTGAACCTGGACAGCCCCCTCGGCTGGCACAGTAAGGAAGGCTCCTCTTGCCACCCGAGACACTGTCCTTACAGCCAGGGAGCCTCACACTTGCAGGTCCCTCTGCGTGGCCGTGGGAGAGGGGCCCCTCAGAGCCCAGAGGACGCAGTTGACCCTCAAGGCGCAGAGCGATATGGAGCCTGCCTTGTACCAGTGCAGGGAGCTCTGCATTTCTGCCTTCCGGAAGCTTCTGACCTCAAGGACAGGGCGCCCTGAAGGAAGGAAACACAATTGTGTGCTGCCCATGGCGGTCGGGAGGCAGTGGCACGTGGGGAAACGGGTGTCCACGGGAGCATGGTGCTGGAATCTGTGGAGTCCCACTGTTGGAATCTGAGGAACTGCGGTGTTTGAGCCACCAGCTAAGAGCAGCCATTTGAGTGAGTTTCCCGGGGTGATGTTGTCAGGAGAGTCCCCTCTCAGGAGACAAGGACACCAGACGCCCCAGGACAGCAGGATGAGGCTGGACAGAGGTGGGGCTGGACCACAGGCCAGCATCTGGCAGAGGAAGGGAGGCAGAGGCATGCTCTCCAGGCCTGCGGGCCACAGAAAACCTTGTGCGCTGTCCTGGGAACACCAGATGGCCCTGACTGGCTGGGCTTGGCAGTCAGTGAGGAATGTAAGGCTGTGGTGGCCCCACAGGGTCATGGGGTGTCCCTTATGCTGTGCTGAGATGCAGGATCCGAGAGGTAAAGAGACAGGACACTGAAGAACTGGTGAAGAGCATCTGGACTCGGGGGGCCATGCCACCTGTGAGTGGAGATCAGCGGCGACCCCCAAATGCCCAGGAGCATCTGTATTTATTAGGTACAAGCACGGGGCAGGGTCGTGTGTGAGGTCATCATCTACAGACTTGGTAATAGCGCATACATAATCACGTGAGTTACAAGTGAGGGGACCACGCCATTGTGTCACCTGGGCAGAGAGGTGGGCCGTGTGCAACAGGGCGCTGTGCCGTGCGCAGTAGCAGAGGGCCGTGTACAGAAAAGGGGTCCACCCCCATTAGGTCACCGAGGCAAGGAGGCGGGCTGTGTGCAGCAGGTGTTGTGTGCAACACTTCTTATCTGGGGGCTGGAGACTTCAAAGGATTTCTATTAGAAGGATACTGTAAGCCAGTGCAGTGGGAGCTGACAGACGTGTGCTCTTCTCTTAAGATATTTATGGGAGGATGATTTGAGCCAGCACAGAAGCGATAAGAGACGGACCAGGTGTACAGCCGCGTGACTGGTCACACCAGGGAGGTTCTTCTCCCTCGGTTACTTCCAGGATCTCAGGCCTGAGGTCTGCTTTCCACATGAACTGGATGCAAGATTCTACAACTCCTTCATCAGGAGGAGAGGCTCCTGCTCCAAGCCTGCCATACGGCGTTTGCCCTTTCAGGCAGGGACGCCACCGCCGGGGTCTTTGGTTCTCGTCCTGGTCTGGCTGTTTTCCCATGTGCTGCTTCTGTTCTGTGACTGCTCCAGGCATTCCTCCCACTACAAACTACTATGTGGTTCTATGGAAGGATTCTATAAATCAGCCCTGAATGTGTCAGTACAGCTCCGACTACAATACCTATATGATTATATAGAAGGATTATACGGAACTAAGTGCATTAGATATAAGTACTATGTATGATTATATAAGCTAGACATATGGAAGCAGTAAGTTATACTTCAGGCACTAATTCTATAAACTGATATGTGATTATATATGAAGGATTATAGAAAGGAAATAGTTGAATAATAGCACTATAACTAAGATATTCTTCAGGCACTAATTGTGCCTGGGGTGTGGACAGTTCTCCTTCCTCAGTGCCCATGGGGGGTGTGACCCACAGGGGAACTGGCCGGAGGGGAGGCTGGTCAGGCCACGGTCAGCTGGGCATGCAGCGGTCACAACTTGGACTGTGGGGTGAAGGAGGTGGAGGCTTCCCTTCCAGGCCTCGGTGTGGTCTCCGGCCTGTGGCTGCCACTGTGCCCACCGGCTTGTGATGGGCATCCCAGTGGCTCTGGCCTCAAGTGGGGACACAGCCTGGCCACCTGCAGGACGGAAGATGGCACACCCAGAAGCTTCCCCATGAGACCTGACTTCCTGAGCAAATGCAGTCAAGCCAAATGGGCTTCAGTTCAGCGCCGGTTACGGTTTTTCTCCAAATTAAAAAGGCCGCCTCTCTGAGGGGCAGGAAGCAGGTTCCCATCTCCCAAGTGCCATGCCAAGAAGCCATTCTTCTGCTCTGCCTGAGGTCCTTGGATCAGGGTTCGGGTCAGCCCTGGGAGGCTCTTCATGGCCCTGGAAAGTGTTTCCAGTGGACTTGAGGTGACCGGTTCAATGCTGCAGCGTGGAGCGCAGTGGGCCTATCAGAGCCCGGGCCTCATGAGGACGCTGAACCGCACGAGGACGCTGAACATGCACCCGGGCCTCACGAGGACGCTGAACACGCGCCTGGGGGCTCCCAGGCCGCCTGGACCCAGACAGGTCCTCGCTGGCCAGGGCTCTGTGGACACGTGGCAGATCAGATCTGGGGCAGGGACCCACGTGTCCTGCCACACCAGGAAGGAGGTCCGAGCTCCGGTCTTGGGTCCCAAGACCCGGGCGCCCTCAGAGCTTCAACCAGAATCAGAACTGGCCAAATCCCATCAAAGACGTGCGAGTCATAAATTGACAAGATCACAAAGCCAAGCTCACTGGTCAGCGTTGGAGGACACTGGGATGCAGGCGCTGCTTTGGAAACGGTGGATGGGAGGGCAGCCTCTCTCCCAGGGACTGTCTGCGGCGGCTGCCCAACGCCGACGAGGGCGGCTCTCCGGACAGCGGGAGCCCTGCTCACAAACCGGGGCTGAGACCACCCTGCAAGCTCCAGGGATTTGTGGTGGCCGCTGACGGCTGTCGGGAAGCAGGCGCCACGTGCCCCCACAGGCCCCAGTAGCCACCCGAGCCCCACCGTGCCCCTGACTGTCCTGGACCTGGTCTCAGGGACAAACCACCAGGTTTCTTCAACAAAAACCCACAAGGAAGAAAGAGAGTCAGGATGTGGGGTCAGACTCAGGACGCACGGAGGCAGCCAGGCATGTGGCTCTCACCAAGATCCTGCGGAGAAGTGGCGGGAAGAGCAAGATTTGGGCGGCAGGGGGGACCCGAACCCTTAGTCCACACCCGCCCAGGCCGGCAGTGGCTGAGAACGTTCCCAGCTGTGGCCAAGGCGTTGTGGTAGGTGTTCAGAGGGGCCTGATCTTTTAGAGGTAAATCTGAGACCTGTCAGTAGCGCGTCATTTCTGAGGCTGGGTGGGAAGTCGTGGGGTTCATATGCTGTTCTTTTTCTGTTTTCTGCACATTTAAAATGTTTCATCATGAACACTAAAAAATAAAATAAAAGCACCACCCACCGAGAGCCTTGTCTTCACCCAAAGACAGACTGAGAATCAATCCAGTGCTACAGACACGTACCATGCTACACATATGTGCCCGTGACACATAACACACTACACACACACACACCACACCACACACATGCCATAGCGCATGTGCATGCATGTGTACACCACATCACACCACACATGCACATACCATAGCTACACACACCACACCGGGCCAGCTCAGGCACGTTTGCATCTTTCTGAGCTGTGGTTAGCCTGACTGTGGACTGCGTCCCTGCAGAGTAGCAGCACCATTCCTGGCTGTGGCCAATGGCTTGCACAGAATAAGCGTGGACAGCACGTCCCTCAGCCTGGACACAGGGGTGCTGAGCAGCACCACGCACAGCCCAGGTCTCCAGGGAATCTAATACCCGAGGACCCAGGGCACATGAGTGAAGCTGTAGCCAGTTTCAGGATCAGGAGCAGGGCCAGCCGCTGTGGGCTAAGGGTCAGAGAGGAGTCCATGAAGGAGACGTGCGTGAAGCTGTGAGAGGCAAGAGGACGTTGCAGGCCAAAAGAGCAGCCTGGCAACGATGTGGAGGCAAAAGTGCGGACCAGAGGTTTGCAAACCTGGCTGAGCACCCAGATGGCCAGGGCCCCTGCACGCATGCCTGCCAGCACCACACACAGAGGGCTGGAGACCAGCAGCACCCTCTGGGACCATGCTCTCAGCAGTGACTCCCTCAGCCCTGAGAATAGAACCTAGCTCCATACCACACGGAAAGCCAGGGTACGCATTCCTTCCCTCCATTCCCCTGTTTCCATACAGACACCTGAATCCATCCATCCATCCATGCACCCACTTATCCATCCATCCGTCTGCCCAACCCCCATCCATCCACCCATCCATCCACTAACCTAGCTATCTGCCAGCCCATCCCCCCTCCATCCACCCATCCATCTGTCCGTCCGTCCGTCTACCCATCCACCCACCCATCCATCCCCCATCCATCTATCCACCCCAAATCTCCCTGTGCTGGAATTACAGGGGTGAGCACCTGTGTCCAGCCAGTCCTGTAACTATTAAAAATTGAGCGGTAATTAAAAATCTTCCCTGAAGAAAACAGATGGCCTTATAAGTGACTTTTATCAGACTTTCAAGGAACAGATCATCCCATTCTTACATAAACAGGACAAAGAAAGGGAGGCGTGCTGCCTATACAGGATGAGACAAAGCCTGAGTCCAACACCAGCGAAAACATCAACAGAACGGAAAATCGCCAGTCCGCTCAAGTATGCACCAAAGTCTGAGGCAAGCATTCGCAAATCAAATTCAACAGCTCAACGTCGTATAAGAAAGGCAAGACACTTGGCCAAGATAGGGTTTTCTATGAAGAAAGGATGATTTAATATTAGAAAATAAAGATGTGAATATGAAAACCCTAATGAAAAAAATTATAGGATCATGTCAAAGGATGCAGAAGAAACATTTTGTAAAATTTGACAAGCACACTCACGACAAAACTCTGCATTGAGGGGACCTCGTGGTGGAGGTGAGCGCCATTCCACATGGGGAAGGGAACAAGCACTGTGTTTAGAAGGAGAGATGGGGAGTGGTCGGTGTCGCCCTGAGCTGGGACGGTGCTCGCCGTTGCATGGCTTCTGTTCCAAGACTCATTGCTGTTCCCTGCTGCATACGGTAAGGGAAGGAAGCAACACGTGTGGCATGGCCGTCGGATGGAAGGAGCTAACACTTGTGTCTTTATCAGAGATTGACCAGCTAGATAGGAAAACTAAAAGAATCTGTAAGTTATCAGAAATATAAAGAAAACTTTAGCAAGATGGCTGGATATAAAATAAAGATATTAAAGTGAGTTGTGGCCAGGCACAGTCACTCACGCCTGTAATCCCAGCACTTTGGGAGGCCAAGGTAAGAAAATCGCGTGCACCCGGGAGTTCAAGACCAGCCTGGGCAGCACGGCAAGACACTATCTCTACAAAAATAAAAATAAATAAATTAGCTGGGCATGGTGGCGTGGGCCTATAGTCTCAGCTACTTGGGAAACTGAGGTGGGAGGATTGCCTGAGCTCAGAAATTTTAGGCCGCAGTGATCTCTGATGTTGCCACTACACTCCAGCCTGGGCAACAGAGTGAGACCCCGGCTCAGAAAAAAAAAGTGAATTGCATTTCTGCAGACTAGCAACAAATAGAAACATGTAATTAAAAAGAAAACAACTGGCCGGGCACAGTGGCTCATGCCTTTATCCCCAGCACTTTGGGAGGCCAAGGAGAGAGGATCACTTGAAGGCAGGAGTTCGAGACCAGCCTGGCAACAGAGTGAGACCCCATGTCTACAGAAATTTTAAAAAATCATCTGGACACGGTGGTGCACGCTTGTAGCCTCGTCTACTTGGGAGGCTGAGGTGGGAGGATCACTTGACCCCAGGAGGTCGAGGCTACAGTGAGCCGTAACGGCACCAAGGCACCCCAGGCTGACGACAGAGTGAGACCCTGCCTCAGAACCAAAACAAAACACAAAGAGGACGATCCATTTTAAAAGAGTCAGAAAACATCACATTCCTGAGGATAAATCTAAGAAACGACATCTAAGACCCCTGCAGCAAAACTTTAGAACGTTAAACCAACTTCAGGTGATTCAAATGTGAAGAACAAAACATAAAACTCTTGGTAGAAAATATCGGTGACTATCACGGCTCAAGCTTGAAATGGGAAAGCTTCTTGTGAAGGTTACATCTTACCAGTGGAAGCAGCATGAATGCATCTGATTATATCACAACTGAGAAACTATTTTTCAGCAGAGGACACCGTCAGCCACCTTTTCTCTGTGGGGCTCAAGAAGTTAAACTCTTTCCGTAACGATTCCGAGATGGCATCGGCATGGGTCACTCTCATTCCCTCACAAGCGGACAGTGGAGTTAGGGTGAGGGCTGGGGTTAGGGTTGGGCTTGGGCTTGGGGTTGGGGTTAGGGGCCACGTGATGTGACATCACAGCTGACTGAATGCAGAAGCTGCCATGAAAATCTAGGCGTTTTCCACAACCCAGACACAAAAGATTTACAAATATGCAACGCAATGCCACCCTTCCCACTAATTTTGGAGGGAAAAATTCTCTATAAAAATGTTACGTATGTTAACATGCAATGGGTATTGTGATTTTTAAATGAATTAATAGATAACTTACAAATGTCTCAGTTTTAATTTATGACACCATAAATACGAAGAGACGGAACTCACATAAGCAAAAGCTCTCAGGGGCACTCAATAATTTTTAGTGTTATAAATGTCCTGAAGCCAGCAAGTCTGAGACCTGCCATCCTAAAACAAATAGACAAATTACAAACTGGAGGTGGCATCCACAGTCCTGGCAAAGGGACGTGGATTCCTGTAAGAATGGAGACCCTTCACTGGAGAGGCAACTCCTCACCACATCCCTGTGGGCAGGGAGGACACACAGCGCCGTGCCATCCCGAAAGAGACCCCAGACTCCTGCCTCACCCGTGTCCTATGGGGGCCAGACCCCAGGGCAGACCCCAGGCCCCTATCTCACCCGTGTCCTGCGGGGGCCAGACCCCAGGGCAGACCCCAGGCCCCTGCCTCACCCATGTCCTGCGGGGGCCAGACCCCAGGGCAGACCACAGGCCCCTGCCTCACCCGTGTCCTATGGGGGCCAGACCCCAGGGCAGACCCCAGGCCCCTGCCTCACCCGTGTCCTATGGGGGCCAGACCCCAGGCCCCTGCCTCACCCGTGTCCTATGGGGGCCAGCCATCCTTGCACCATGCTCTGGGGCGTGCCGAGTTCCGGGAGTTCTGGGAACAGATGCACTTCTACCTGCCCAAATCACGAGCCACGCTTCCTCCTGGGCGTACGGCCCGCAGAAACCTCATCCAGATCTGTTCTCGGCTACACACCAGGAAACACCTGCCTCCCCCTTGGGGCCCCCACAGGTGGGGGTTTAAATGCAACGCTTCACCCAATGGGTAACATGCAGCAGATGCCCCGTTATGGCCACACGGCGCGACGCAGATGGAGTTCAGCAAGAAACGTAAGGAAGGAAGTCCCAGAAGATCGCGCACAGCCTGAGCTCTTTTCAGAAAGTTAAAAACAGCACAGATGAAACCGT